ATGAACTTGTGAAGCTATGTAGAGGAACGATAAAGGAAGATCTGAGAGAGAAGAGCAGCAGTTATGGACGAAGCTGCCGAAGCTGGAATGAGCATTGGCAAAGCACGACAGAGCTTCACTAAATACAAGGCCAAGATTGCTTTCATTCGTCGTCCTGACGGAACAGTTACTGCATCCTGGATTAGGTCAACTACGATTTCTTCTTGAATCTCTTCGACAGCCACGTTTACGTGCCTACCCATCGTTTTGGGCAAGACTTTATATATCGCTCCGTCGGTTCTCCCTTCCGAAATTGACACGCCATCACGTCTTCCATAGCCACGTCTACCTGCCTATCATTTACTTCGGCAAGACGAATATATCGTTCCTTCGATTCTCTCTTCCGATATTCGACATGCTGTCACGTCGATGAAGAATTGTATGGCGCCCTATCCCGATCGTATTGAACCAGAACATCAGGTTTGATTCGAGCATGCACTGTCTTTATCTGGTTACTTGTTAAATCTGTGCGTTGTTAAAAATTTCCGAGACTCTCCTGGTCGCAGTGGAGAAATTTTCAAATATGCTGAAATTCGGTGAACCATACTCAATCGAGCTGTCCTTCGCTTTGTTTGAGACGTGCTTCCTTTACAACTTGGTTCTAACGAGTAGAAGGAGTGGCTGCCGCAGTTCGACCGATTCAGCTTCAAGTATTGAATTCATTTGATTTCCCCCATTATCCTCGGGTCGTCTTATCACTAGTAACATGTTGAAGAAGTATGATGTAAGTTATCTTCAATTACGGTAATATGGAGAAATCGTAGAAGGAACATGAGAGAAGAAAGTAAGAAGAGGCTGCAGTATAAAACTCAGTTTTTCCTTATAGGAGGCTGAAAAGGCTTTCAACTTTCACAGTCTTATAGCGGACAGGTCCAGAAAAATAGCATTTACAGGTTTCACGTCGTTGCCGTCAGCGATTAGCGTGATACTTGTAAGTTTTCTTTCCGTTGCCAACCACCCATCTCAGAGCAGCAACTGGCCTCAGCTTTAGAAAACTACATACGTTTGTAAAAGGATAATTGTAGTTTTTGGATGGAAAGCATCAAGAATATGCACTAGGAATTGTTTCCATCCGTCCTTTGAAAAAGTTACAAGTTTGGAGCTGACTTGGGCAACCATTAAGAAAGAAAGCCGCTGTAGAATGACAAGTGTTTCTGCTCCAGAAAAAATGATTTGTGAGGTTTCTATTAGAAATGGTATAGCCCGTCTTGAAAAAAAGGAAAGGATTACTTGTAACCCATTGGGGAAAAAAATTTCAACTCAGCAACCTAGAACTACCCCTTCCATGGCATCTATACAAATCTGAACTGAGTGTCTTAGATTCTGCGGTTCTTTATTGTTTTCTGTAATTCAAATAGGGGCGAAGGAGCTGGATTGGCAAACGGCGCACTATCACACATGGTCGTGGGTCTGTTCGGAACCCGGATTGATAATCGCCTGGGCCATCAACACCTTCCATCCCTCCCGGGTCAGTTAATTGTTACCACACTCGTCTGGGAGGACACAAACCCAGGCTTCACATGATCATGCACATTTTTGAGAGCAGCATGAGGCACGGTGTAAGAACCAGGAACTACCCACACTTCGCAAGCATTGACTGAGGAACGTAAGAGCTTCAGGTGCAGCCCGGCCTTGACCTTTCCACGGGAATCTCAAAATCGTTGTCGGTCTCTCCTTTCTGAAAACACATTTTTCCTTCTGAGGTGTTTTGTAGGTTTCAATGGCTCCATTCAGTTGCGAGGATGTACTATGACTTAGTAGAAGCATGGTAATGCCCATCCCACAACTTTCGCCCAATAATACCTCCACCTCAGTTTTCATCCCTGAGCAAAAATTGAACTCATGGGCATAAGCAGAATGTGTGGTCTCCGAATTTTTCCATCGTAAAACGTTTACTCTTCACTCCCTTCACTCATTGAAGTTTATGGAAATATATTTCGTTGTTCAGGAAACCTGGGACAACGCCAGTTGGTACCCATGCCACTTTCTGGACACATGAATGAAGACAGTGATTTCAGCGCTCTGCTGACTAAAACTGAATCAACAACAAGTTCAAACTGGACCTTTCGCAATTTTGGCTCCTTTCATGGGCCAAAATTTATCAAATCTCCCACATATTCTANTTTTTTTCACGAAAAGTAACAATTTTTCCGAAATTCCGTGTCGTTTTGCGAATATCTATGACTATTTTGTACAAGCGTCTTTGATTCCACTTCATTTTGACGCGTTCCGCCAAATTTTACCGCTCAATTGCTCTAGAGGGTACGTTATGAATGCAGCCAGACTGGAAAACAAAACCTTAGATCGTCCTTGTTCTCAAGAACGGCGTGTCGTTCGAGCAGTTGATGGACGGTGTTCAGATGGCCACCGTCAACGGCACACTGCAGAGCGGTGTCTTCGTGAGAATTTTTCGCTTCGATATCCGCCCCAGCATCCAACAGCACCTTCGTTGTCTCGGCTTTACCTGAATGCTACGGCTCTTGTTAACCTGAACTGAAAAAGGCCCAACATGGAATTTGGCTAATTATGGCATGTTCGTTTGACAGGCCCTGATTTTATGATACAAGAATAACTGGCAAAATTCCTTTCCCTTAGTCTTTTTTTACTCATTTTTATCATCCTTTGTTTCCTTGCCTATTCTTTGTTTACCTCTCTCCGAACCATATGATAAACCCACAGGCGTCAGAGGCTTAGGCAAAGTAAAGGGACTCCGCAGCTGAGTGAAACGGGGATGGGAAAAGCTCCAGGGAATTCACAAACCGAAAAAGTGATGGACGGCTCCGTTCTGTCATGAAATTCCTCAGATTATTTCAATTTTTCTTTGATTTTTGTACCAGTTGACTGAGAAAAATCAAAACTCCTCCCCAGACATTCCATGCAACTCCATCAGGGTTGAACTAGAGCGGTTGGAACCCTCTTGGAAATCAGAACACTACCTTCCTGAAAGAAACAGCGGGACTATCTATCTGATGTATTTAATATTCTTTACCTAGGGGCCTTATTCGATCTAACGAAGACTCCTGTCGTGGAAGTTTCGCTGTTGATCGTAGGAGACAGTCCTATCCGAACATCCGATTTTTTGTGGAAGGAAGGAAAATTATTTCAGAAGGTACTCGCCGAAATTCCTATTTCCCGAATATTCCTTCTTCGAATCAGAGGCGTTTCTGTTGGGAAAATTTCTCTAAGGGACCTTCACCTTCAATCAAACTGTGAATTTCCCTCGATGGTCAGGGATTATTCTCGAACTTGTTTGGTTATTCTTTTTGCTTTTCCTTGACCATGAAATATTGCTTCAACCAAATTTAATACATTTTTTGACAAATTAAAACAACTGCGCGAAATCCACCACTTTCTGCTTTTTGGTTTGCCATGCCCAAGAGCTAAAGCAGTTTACGGCAGTTTACAGCAGCAGTTTTACGTTTACGCCGACCTCTCCATGTCTGNCAGGGATTATTCTCGAACTTGTTTGGTTATTCTTTTTGCTTTTCCTTGACCATGAAATATTGCTTCAACCAAATTTACTACATTTTTTGACAAACTAAAACAACTGCGCGGAATCCACCACTTTCTGCTTTTGGTTTGCCATGCCCAAGAGCTAAAGCAGTTTACGGCAGTTTACAGCAGCAGTTTTACGTTTACGCCGACCTCTCCATGTCTGGTGTCTTTTGGAAACCCCATAAAAAGCCTAGGATCACCCGAATTCATCTGAGGGCCCTAGGATGCGTCTGGAACACACATTGAGTGGTCGTGTGCAAAAGCGAGACGAACGGCTCCCTTCGCTGTCTGCTGCTAGTCGCCGCTCAGAATTCGTGCCAAGAAGGAAGCGCACTTCCTCACAGCGTCGCAATCGATAGGGCCCCGTCGTCTGCGCCCCTATGGTGAATATCCTCATTCAGCACACAATTAAATAATTCAGTAAAGATTGCCAGCGGCCTTGCAATTGCGACTCGATCATACACCCGAACTCTCTCCCTCAAATGTCCCTTGCAGTGTGAATGAGCAAGAAAAAATAGGGGCAGTACTCACTCACAAAACCAAAAAAACATCTTTTCATTCTCACCTCAACAGCGCAAAACTTTGAACCATTTAATGGGCTGTTAGGGGTCTGAATATATGCTCAGACGAGTCTGCAGGTAGGAATACAGGAGGAAGAAACGCTTTATTCGCTTGGCATTCACCGCGTGCCTTAGTTGCATTTCACACTAAAGTCACCGATGAAAGCGAAGCGATCCAGCGGGGATACGGAATATGAACAGCCATAGCTAGCCGAGTAAGGCGCAGTACAGTAGCAGCTGGTATTGAGGCGAATGACAGGGGGCGGAGACGCCATGAGGGTCAAGCCCTTGAGGGCCAGGTGGCCAGGATTAGGCGGGCGCTAAGAAGAGAGCGCAGGTGGGCAGTAGGCGCAGACACTCTTGACCGGCAGATTGAGCGAATTTACACGACACATCTCATCCGAAATCGAACGATCGATTACGGTATAGGGTATTCTGTGGACAGTGATTGAATGTGCTTCGCAATGATGAACTGGGAATGGGCGGACGTAGTGAATAGTACGAGAATAACTGACAAGCGGACAGCAAGGGACTTGGCTTCCAGGAACAGTTCAGCACAGGGCGAAACCAGCGATGTCATGGTAACGGATGATGACGAAGCGCGAACAGCGGCGCTCCAGTAGTGAGCAAATGGTAGAAATAACGCAGTTGTCTCGGATAGTTTCGAGCTCAAGCAAAGGAAATCGGAGCCGGTCAGAGCGAAGTACTTGATGTAGGAGCATGCGATTCGGCAGAAGGACACAGACTGCGCCCGTCCATGGAAGGCAATCAGCAGAGGAAGCGAAGGACGGGCCTATGCTTGTCAGACAGCCAAGAGAGGATGGACGGCGTTGAGACTCAGACCACGGCTGAGTGAGGTAGTACGAGCTGCACGGAGAGTCTCCCCTCCGCAGTGAAATATTCAATGGCCGCAGGCGGTAATCAGAACTGGCTGAAGACTGCGACAGACTACGAGACAACCGACGGCATAGAAATGCGCCGCTGCCTGAGCAACTTCGGATTACGGTAGTGGGCATGGTGAGTGAGGCGTCGTAGGGGAAGTCGATCACGCCGAGAAACCCTCGCGTCTCAGCCGCAGCGAGGATTCGTAGACGAGGAGGGAGGAGCATTGGGGTTGTCTACCCAGTGGGAAAAAGGGTACAGGTCCAACGAAGCGCTCTATGTGAAATTTCCAAGAGACACAGAAAGGCAATTCTTCATTTCACAGGCGATCCTCGTTCCCAGCCATTGCCACTGTTTGTTCATTAACGGCCTCCTGTGGTGACAATCCGTCAATGACGACATCAACAGGTGGTTCTGTCGTAACTTTCTTGATTCGCCTAGTTGCGCGACCTAGGTAATTGCCGCAACCGCAGGTGTTTCCCTCACATAATAGGTGAGAATAAAAGGATTGGGCGTGGTTGGAGAGCCCCTGGTTCTAAGTAGCGCTGCTGAAAGTAGCCTGCAGATCTGTTAATACAGAACGTCCCTTAGCAACCCAGATAGGGCAAGTGTGATTAGCATTAATCTAAAAATGCTTCCGAGATAAATCCCATACTAGACGCGCTTCCTATTCGTTTCCTGTGAACAGACGGCCTGCCAGCAAAGAAGGCCATCGGGGGAATAGACATTTCCACTCGCACGGTACGATCCCGCGCAGATGTCATCACGCCATCTGTTCAACCAATTATTACTCCCATTTGATCACAGTCGCAAAAGAACATCATGATTTGCGGTTGGTTCAATCCCAGACACGTTAGTAACACCGCCTGTGTGGGGCAGGGAAAAGCTTTTAGGAAGCCTCTCTGGCCTCATGCTGATCGATAACTCAGAGTTTGAGAGGGAGCCTGAGTTGGGGGAACTCGACTTCAGATCAATATGTGTTGCACTGAGGGTCAATTAGCCATGCTAGTGGTTGGCGATGGGCTGCAGCGATGGCGGCGATGGCGGCGGCGTTGACCATACCCACGTTCACTAATTGGCGTCGACATTCCGCAATTCCCCTTAGCAATCGTCGTCCATCAGCGAAATTTGTGAAAGCCTACAACCAGCCGTCAACCATGTTCAAGCGATGCTCCTTTGACTTGCAAGAGTAGGAAAGTTGAGCTCTCGCACGGAATAAAGTCTGCTAAGCTGGATCAGTGAATATGATGAAGCATAAAGTCTTTCTGAATTAAACAATCCCGTCTGAGGGATGCGCCCGCTTTCAACTCCCATTCAGAATCGCAATGGCCTGATGAGTGTGTATGTGGGCTATACAACGGCTTGCGGTGGTCATCCGATGCAGAAATCAGTGCTTCTATCCTCCCGGACGGTTCTGGTACCGATAAACCGACCCCGGAGAAACGGAAGGCCTGATTGGCCTGAGCGTATATCAATCCGGGACTCGAACCCGCAACCATGCATGTGAAAGAGTGCTCCACCCGCCACAACACCACATCCGCCAGTAAATAGGATAGTACAACAAAAGTCGATGAAGTATGGATACACGTGGCATTTTGGGCAATATCACCGCCGCTTGGGATAAGGTAAAAAGAATAGTTAATTAGGAAGCTGGCTGTCAATTAATTATACTACACTTGGCATGGAGCAGGTGCTGTCTCGCGACCCTATAACAGATGGTTGACCCAAATGCGATGGGCAGAATCCACAGAAGGCGCGGGGCTATTTGCATAAAGAGCAGTTCTTTGCCATTCATGACGGTACCATTTGCGGGATTCAACATCAAGTGATTCAGATACTGGGAAGGAGATAGAGATGTGCTCTGATTAACTGTGAATACCTATAATCTATACGAAGATTTATCCTTTTGAGTGATTTTTTTCAATTCTGTTCTAAAGTTTTCGAACTCATGGGACTCGACCTTACCGTATTTAGCTGCTAAATGCAATGCGGTGTCAGCGTCGTCGTTTTTGTGTAGTACCAAGCGCTTGTCCCATTCAAGGAGTTGTCGAACTGCAAGGAAAGCTCGTCTTCACCTTTACCTTTGCAAACTGGTAATCAACAGGAAGTAAAGAAACTCNTGATCAATTTCCACCGATGATGGTGCTTGCTCAGACCTATACAGCCCTGTCCCACTAATCTTACTTTCCGCAGCAACTACACATAAATAATACTGGTGGTAGGATGTTTTCTGTTTGTCTTTCCCCGGTTACCAGCTACAACACTTGCTCATTAGGAAGGAAGCTCTTAAGCGGTGCCATTAAGATCCATCTGTCAAAAGATCTTGGTGACTAGAGATATGTCCTATCGTTTGAACTGTTGGCGAATCTACCCGTTTTCTCAGCATATGAAACTGCCTCAGCTTTTCCCTCCCCAAAACCTCCAAATGCTTTCCGGAAGTTTTGATTTTCGTATAGCTTCGATTAGACCTTCATTGGGGGCTTGATACTTGTTCCCATTCAAGTTAAACTTGACTCACTGAGAAATACTGAGGGTATAGGAAATCGCGACTAATTGCTAAGAAGGAAAAACTAACCGCTTATCGTTTCTCCTTTTCTGGCGGCTAGAAGCAATGGAGTCTCCTCGTCCTCGTCCAATGCATCTAAAGCGGCTCCGTACTGGTAGAGCACCTAGAAGGGATAGTTGAGAGCTTTTATTGGATTGTACTCTCAGTTGGGCAAATTTTCTAATGGCGTGGTTTCATAAACTTCATGTGGTCGCATTAGTATGCTTCATGGTGCACGTAGCTTCTCACCCAATACAAATACAAATCAGTAACGATTTTGAACATTAAAAGTTACCGTACCCGACTAACTTCAATGTATCCATTAGAGCAGACGATATGCATAGGAGTCATCTGACTGTGATCCGGCTGGTTAACAAGGTCCGGAATCCGGTCACCTTCGACTTTCCGTTTTTCACGACATAAATCGAGGATATGCTGAAATGAGTAGTTGAATGAGATCATCGTCTGCCTCTGTAGCACAACTCAGTGATCTTTCGTAAAGCATTCAAGACGTCTGCATAGCTCTATATACGTCAGACTGAATAAAGGGATAGTGGGCTGTTCTTAGTTTGAAATTTGGTGTTCCTGGGCGTGGTATCGGCTGAGGAACACTGAGTGAGGGAAATCTTTGATCGCAGCTCTGGTTTCAAGTTTAATATAGAAGGTGTTATCACTACATTTCAGTCATACTTCTGTGTCCAGACTTATCAGCAGAGAATCTATCTGACGAGCTTGCACTTCTCCATACTCATGTATTGCTGAAATTCTATTCCCGTGACGCTCTAGATTTTAGGGAGCGCGGAAAAACTTCAGCCAGTATTTAACTTGCTTCAAATCTGCACGTGCACTGTACCGATTTCCTGTCCAGCCATGCACACGCTCTCGATACCGAACATCCGGTTCTCGAACGTACAGTAGCGCTCAAAAGTATTCTGCCAAATGCTTCTTCATTCGTACTTTTCAGTCATAACTCTTTTCTTTTTGCCATGTCCAAAGTGTGCGAAAGCTAATGCCGAACACAGAAGAGAAGAAAAACGCACATAAGGTGCGAATAACTGCAGACTTCACAAACTTTGCTTTTAGCGGTTTGCTATTGCAACGAACGCCTTGCTCTGGTCGTAGAGATATTGCTGCTTTGCAGTCAAATAGTGTTGGATAGAGTGAAATGTGCTCTTGTTGAACATATCCAAATTTCGCACGATTTGCTACACTAAGAAAAAAAAAAGTTACGGCCGAAAAAACGTTTGGCCGAATACTTTTGAGCGCTACTGCATGTGTGAAAGCTGATTACTCATAGAGCAAGCTAGGCCTCAGAGCACTTTATCATGGTTGGCTAAATTACTGAGAAAACAGTACTGAAAATGGATCGAATCAGGAGCATAGCCCTCAAAGTCACGTTGCGCTAAAGCTGACCATTATGTAGTGGCTTCCGCTAATGGGCTAAAGCTCGGAAGGCTATGAGAATTGAATTTTGATAAGAAAAACATGGAGAAGGATAAGCCCGTAAGATAGATTCTATGCGAGCGGTTACTCTGAGTATTTATTCCCTCTTACGTCAACTGGCATATTTTTGTCAAAGCCTGAATTGACCAAATATAAGAAAGACGACTACAGGCCTGCAAAAAGTCTGTATTGGTAGACGTTGTTGGGTAGGTAGGTAGTAGGTATGCAGATGTCTTTGGACGCCCTACACGTATGCAGATGTCTGTGGACGCCCTACACAAGTAAGAAGAGGACACTTCACTCGGACCGCGAGTGTCTAAGCTTATAATGTCTACTGTCCCGTCCACCGTCCCCTTTTTCGTCTGTGAGGGTAAGTATGTAGTAAGAAACATACACTGGCAGCAATCCTATAAGGGAGGGTTGAATGTAATAGTATTGAATTTGATTAACCGTACATCATATTTCTAGATCAATATAGTCATCGAAGTCTCCTACGGTCCCGGCTAATCTCTGTCGTAGTTCATAGCGATTGACAGATTTCCCACCCCATTTTTTCGTTTTAACTTTGTGAGAACGATTCAGAAAGAAGTTACTGGAAAGTGGCTCGCCTACCGTCAACACCTTGATTGCGTTGAATTTGGCTCCAATGTGGATCGCGGTCCGCCCTTCGTCGTCGGTTACAAAGATGTCGGTGCCGTGCTCTATGAGAACCTAAAGACAAAAGTCGATGACCAGCGGTAAGCTATCTCTTCGAAAATGTATAATCCCGTGGATTAGATCATGGTCACGCGGTGAGGTGACGTTTATTTATATTTGAATTATTATGGGTTCCGCTACCAAAGGAGAGTAAATGGATGGCAAAAAAAAAAAGAAATCAGCCGTCAGATTATCTCAAAGTCACCCAGAAGGTAGTGATGGAACTCGAAACTGAATAACTCCAGGCTTTTGCTCATGCCCTAGATAAGAATTGCTCTTAGGCTCTCTGAAAAAACAGTTCTTGCACTTTGTATCGAATGCTTGTGAAGATGGGAATCAAGCTATATGGTGCGTCGAAACCAGTACGTTTGAATGGATCACTCGCTTTTCACACACCAAAAATGAAAGGTCTCGACCCGACTATCGACCTGTTAGCCTCGAAGGGAGAAGTTATGCTGAAATCAAAAACAATATCTTACTTTGACAACACCGAGAGCATTATGGCCGACGGCGGTTAAAAATGGTGGCATTCCAGCCTCATCTCTGTCTTCAATACAATCGGGCTAGAAAATCACGATGACGTAAAAATGGAGTATGATATCTTTAATAAAGATGATCGCTCACTGCCATAGTGACGAGAAGTTGAGCCACGTCCACCCGATCATACTGTGCTGCCCAGTGTAAGGGAAGCTGCAAGTCCTCGTCACGAAGACGTGGATCGTAGCCATTCTGGAACTCAGACTTCTTTCCACCAATCAAAACAGCACCATTCATTTCTCGTCTTGGACCATCCTCTTTACATAATCCGCTAAGTGTGTCTGTTGATGTGTTTGTGTGCGTGTGTGTGGTTGTCTGACCGGAAATTCATAACTCCTGCCAAACTGGACCCAGAGCGCTAAAATGTGGTAAGGCTACAGGTAGCAGGATGGGAACACTTATGGTAGATGGCAGAAGCGGACTTCGCTCACAAGGGGTGGGGTTCGTGCGAAATAAGTGTTCGAGTGGGTATTCATAGTAACTCCTTTTCCCGTGGACCTGGAGAATTCAAGATCAGTTAGAGAACAGGTGGCAGGATGAGAACACTTATGGCAGGTAGTAGGACTAGGCACTCTACGACTTACATCATGAAGTAAACAATGTCGTTGTATTTCACAATTTTTTTTTACATAGATTGGGTATGGGGGTTATGGTGGTGAAGTGATTTTGCGCAAGATATCTTTAGTCATTTTGAGGAGCAATCGGAACCACTGGTCGAGTTAGCCTATCGCTTATCTCAGTTTTTTCTCTTCCCTTCTTTTAAACATCTTTCTCGCCTTTCTCATTTATGCCTAGCGATCGGTCAACCGCTTCGGCAATATGTTTGTCCTACGTTTGTTGTTGCAGTGTTGATTGGTTTTATTTGTTAACCTTTTTTTCTCCTTTTTCTTTTGTCATTCACTTCTATTGGAATTGAGTGTTGCTCGCTGTACCTCCCCGTCTGTGTAACCGTCTAACCCTTGGGCGCAGAGTAAATAAATGAATCAATGAATAAAGTCGAGTTCGCTTGTGGTCAACATGCTCCTACATATTTACATTTAATTCGAAAGCACACCTGAATGAGGCGTTCGGCCACCTCAACGTATCCTTTCGCCGCTGCCTCATGAAGCAGATACTTGTCTTTTCTGTAATGACACGATGATGTAAAGGTGAAGTTTCGGAGAAGAGTGGGTTCTCTATTGGGACACGCTCGCAGCGGGCATTGCCACACCATTTCCGATTTCTATTGCTAAGCGTTTCAAAATTGTAGGTACAATAGCGACTCACATATCGAAAGTAGCCTTGTGTTCAGGCTGTAGCTTAAGGATCATGGTAACGGTATCCGGATGGTTACCATCGACGGCCATTCTCAAAGGTGTCTTTCCTTCGTTATTGCTCGCCCACAGCATTCTCTGGCATGTGGGTCCACCTTAAAATGTCTGGGTTAAGTTTGGAGTAGCCGCTTATTATGGAAGAATCCTCGAGAAATATGTCATAAATATGATTTAAAATGGGTAAACAGTATTTTGCGAAGTGGTTTCGAAACAAAATTTTGGCTCGGGGTAGAGGTCTACCGGCAAAGTGCAGTCAAGCTTTGAAAGCATCGACTCGTCCAAATACCACCCCTCAGAAATCACTATACAGGTAGATCGAATAAAATGAATGAGTTCCACTATAGGACAATTACGATCTTGAACGGGAGTCGAATACGTGAAAACAACATGATATGGAATCGATGAAGCTGAAGCGTTTCCCGTTGCAGCTCCTCGATTGAATTCATCATGCATCAATAATGTCAATGCATCAATAGTTTGCAAAAGCTTTTGGTTAATAATTATGGTTGGGATTGTTCACCTGCTTTTGGCATTTAGATGACTAATCAAATCACTCAATTTTCAAGGTAAAAAGAAGAAAAACAGTAAAATGTTCCTAGTAGAAGATCCACTTCTCCCTCCTCATTAACTCATCTTCCTCACTTCCTTGTACTCACGATTTTTATAATAGTCCAATATGTGGAGAAGGAAAACGTCTTAAATTGAAAGTATCGTGTCTGAGTTAACCTACCCAACCGGCAACTACCCAACCAGCAATTTAAAATATCTCTCCACGATTCAGCTTTAGACCCAATTTTAGTGTGCTTACCATGTTGAAGTAGTAAGTTTAGGGTATCACATCGTCCGTGAAGGGCAGCTATGTGATAAACGGAGTTCATTCGTTTATCGGTTTCCGAGGTGTCCGCTCCATTCAATAGGAGCATTTGAATAATTTCATCGGATCCGTGAACACAGGCAGTCAGCAGAGGTGTCGTTCCTTTTGAAGCTTTAGCCTGAAAATCGACCATTCCGATATGACTAGCCATAGTAGTTTTTAAAAAGTTAAGATCGAGCAAATGTTGCTATTATACAATTGGAATGGGCGGATAGAGCGTAGTACATATGTAGATAGCTGAGCACTATCACACTAACAAGGGAAGGATTCCAAGTCGAAGTGGCCATTCGAAATGAGACCTACACTGCTAGACCTATTTTTTGATGGTGATTTCAAATCTGCATTCAAAATCTGCCAAACGATTCTATGAAAAAGTTGTGGAGGTGGTCTCCGGAGAGCGCTCAACAGGAACACAACAACAGGGGGACGCACGAAAGGCATGGTCGCCGGCAGCCCAGCAGTGGCGGGTTGGAGTGTAGGTAAGCGTAACGCTTCGTAGGCATGGGACCAAGGGTCGGATTTGATGGGGACCATGCCTTTTGTGCTTTTCCCTGTTGAGCGCTCTCCGGAGACCACCTTCACAACTTCGTTCATAGAATCGTTTGGCAGATTTTAAATGCAGATTTGAAATCACCATCAAAAAATAGGTCTAGCAGTGTAGGTTTTATTTTAAATGGTCACTTTGACTTGGGATCCTTTCCTTGTAAATTCACGGACCGAGTCCCTCGACACCGACAGGCCAATCAAGCCTTTTATCAGACCCGGTTAATAATGCTAGACTTGCCTAGAAGTATAAAGTACCGGCTTGTGCCAGATTGATAAAAAAGTTTTTAAACGATTTTTGAGTTTTGGGCTTATCAATTCTCGATCGATACCCTTAATCTACCTCGTGGCAGTGCAGTTGTAGATTAGTCTTGAAGCGTCTCTCCAATGGGTATATATGACTGAGTTCCCTACCACAACTTTAAACACCATCTTAATTCCACACTAGCATCTTTGAGCAATGGCTACCATTCGTAACGTCAACACCGCATTGGGAGAGCACACCACTCCCATCAACACTGTCAAACGTTGGTCCGCTGGCTATGAAGGAGGAGACACAAGCTTAAAAGGTGAACTCGGTCGGGAGGCCCTCAGACTGTGGTAGATTCGGCCATTCTCAACGCTCTCAAAAATGATCCTTGGGGTAAAACCCGCGATATCGCGACCATTCACGGTGTACTAATGAAAACTCCTCAGTCAGTTCCATGCTCTTGGCTACAGGACGATGCTCACTAGATTAGTGCCTCATGTACTGAGCGAAAGCGTGTGGTTCACTTCAGCATCCATACGCCTTCTCCGTCTGACCGGATAAAGTTACTGGAAGACTCGATCACTGGAGATGAGAGTTAAGTCCTTTACGATTTCAACATGCGTCGTGCCGTGTGGCTCCTCCGCGAAGAGGACCCACGACACATACAAATCGGGCATCAGCTTCTGGAAGTGTCTTTTCTGCCGCTCCTGGGATTCACGAGGGTTCTGTATTACGAGCTGCTCTTGCGAAGACGCACGGTCATTGGTAACATTTACGCGCAACCTTCATAATTTAGCAGACACTGTTCGAAAAAAACGGATAAGACGAACTTCCGTCCACCTACTGTATGATAATCCCAGATCCCATGTCAGCAAAGGGACAACTGGAAAAGGTGGAGGAGCTAGGCCGGGATACTGTTTTCCATCCTTCCTATTCTCCCGACAATTGAGCCTCTGTCTATCACTTATATCGTCCCTTGAAGCTCTTCTTAGATAAGAAGGATTTCACCAAACTTGAAGATGTTGAAAGAGGAGTCAGCAATTTCTTCAAAACTGTTGTGACTGCAATTGATTGTTACGATGTTGAAGGAATTCCGAAGGCAGGGATAGCCGAGTGGATAACAGTGTAGGCTCACGTCTGCACTTAGAGGGAGTGCGAGTTCGATCCCTGCCGAGGCAACTCCATGCCTTGCAAAATTTGCAAAAATGGTATTGGTACCAGCGTCAGGCCAGGTTGACAGGCCGGCTGATGGGGAAACCAGTCACAACAAATATGTCTGAAGTCCTAAAGAGTATCCGTGATAAAGCTAGGACGTCACCCGGAAGTGGCGCACGGGGCCCTCGCCTGAGTTCTGTGG